CCTGTCCAAGTTCCTGTGTGGACACGTCTCACTTTTCGTGGGCATATACCCAGGAGTGGAACTGTTCAGTCATAAGGTAACTCTGTACTTAACTTTCTGAGAAACCACCATACTGGTTCCCACAGTGGCTGCAGCATTTTACGTTCCCACCAGCAGCGCATGGGGCTCCTATTTCTTCCCATCCTTGGCAACACTTGTTCCCCTTTTAGCAGGAGTATTACCGTTGGGGGTGTAGTGATGTCTCATTGTGGTTGCAATTTTCACCTCTAATTTCTAGAGGGGTTGAACATATGCCTGTTGGCCATTGATATATACTTTTGTAATGTCTATTAAAGTCTGCCCGATTTTAATTGAGTTATCTTTTTGTTATGGGGCTTAAGGGTTCTTTATATGTTCTGGATTCCAAACCCTTATCAGATATATGATTTGCAAATATGTTCTCCCATTCTGTGGGCTGTCTTGTCTTTGTTTTGTTTTAGTTTTTAATATTTATTTATTTATTTATTTATTTATTTAAGAGCAAGAGGGATAGGTGGGAGGAGGGCCAGAGGGAAAGAGAATCTCAAGCAGACTCTGTGCTGAGCACAGAGCCTGATCCAGGGCTCCATCCCACAACCCGTGAGATCATGACCTGACCCAAAACCAAGAGTCGGATGCTCGACTGACTGAGCCACCCAGGCATCCCTGTGGGATGTCTTTGCAGTGTCTTGATGATGTCCTTTGATGCACAAATTTTTAAAAATTTATAAAATTCAATTTGTCTGTTTTCCTTTTGTTGTTTGTTGATGTCATATCTAAAAATCCATTACCAAACCAAGATCATGAAGATTTACCCCTATTTTCTTCTAAGATTTTTTTTAAACTTTTAGTTCTTACATTCAGGTCTTTGATCCATTTTAAGTTAACTCTTGTATGTGGTGTGAGGTAGGGGTCCAGCTTCTTTCTTTTGCGTGTGGAAGTGCAGCTGTCCCAACCTTGCTTGTTGAAGAGACGATCCCTCCCTGTTGAATGGTCTTGGCAAACTTGCCGGAAATCAGCTGATCATAGATGTATTTCTGGACTCCCAGTTCTATCCCATTTGTCTCTATGGCTGTCTTCCTGCCAGTAACACAGCATTTTAGTTACTATGCCTTTGTAGTTTATTTTGAAATTCAGGAAGTGTGAGCCCCCCAGCTGTGCTCTTCTTTTCCAAGACTGTATTGTCTCTTCTGGGCCCTTTGCAGTTCCATGTGAATTTGAGGATGGGTGGAGGAGTGCTGACCACACTGACTCCATCTTTGGTCTCCATCTTGCTCATGCCCACACGATGGCCTCCCGGGGCTGGACAGTGTAGGGAGGTTAACGCGGGCCCTGTGGGGAATGTGGGAAGGCTTGTTTTGATCTTCCTTAGAGTGATGCGCAGACGGACCCATTTTAGATGGTTACCCTTTGTTGTTTGCTTATTCAAGGTTCAAACCCTCTGCCCCTCTTTCCTCCCAGCCCAATAGTTCACAAGGATTGAGGGGGTGGTTTTCATCTTGCTTTAAGTCAAGAAGTCACAAACAGCATTTTTTTTTTTTATGAAGGAGAAAACCTCCCACTTTTTGACTATTGTGAATAACGCTACTAGGAATACAGTGCCCAGATATCTGTTTGAGTCCCTGCTTTCCATTCTTTGGGGTACACAGCCAGACACGGGACAGCAGCTGCCACCCCATGTCAGAGCCCCACCAGCAGGGCACGAGGGCGCAGATATGTCCACACCCCTGGCAACACTGGTTGTTTTCCATGTTTTTGACAGTTGCCATCCTAAACGGTATGAGGTATAAATGCATGGTTTTTGCAAGAAGTAAAAATTGGCATTAGTACTTGTTTTGTGTTACTCATTAGTCCTCTGCTCCCTGCCCCCTTGCTCCTTGAAACAGACTCTCCCAAGAAATAATGCTGGAGTATTGTGAGCTGGGGCCAGCCGTGCCTACATCCCATGGCTGGGCCCAAACCAGTCACTGTCACAAGCACATTTCATGAGACTGCACCAGGACCAGTATTTATAGCCTATGATGACGAGCTTCCAAAAATGAAAACAAAAAAAAAACGATGAGTATTTCACTGATTTTACTCATTGTAAAGTGGTACAGGCTTTGACTTAAATGAAAAGCTTAAACAAACAAACAAAACATGGTGGGGGCACATGGGTGGCTCAGTTGTTAGGTGTCTGCCTTCGGCTCAGGTCCTGATCCCAGGGTCCTGGAATTGAGCCCCACATCGGGCTTCCTGCTCAGCGAGGAGCCTGCTTCTCCCTTTCCTCCCCATTCACACTCTCTCTATCTCTGTCTCTCTCTCTCAAATAAATGAATAAAAATCTAAAAAAGAAAAAAAGACATAGGCTTAGGCAGAAATTAAATTTTAAAAATTTAAAATTAAAAAATGAAACAAAGCAACAACAACAAAAACTTTGGGGCGCCCGGGTAACTCAGTCAGTTAAGCATCTGTCTTCAGTTCAGGCCATGATCCCGGGGTCCTGGGATTAAGTCTCTCATTGGGCTCCCTGCTCAGTGGTCTGCTTCTCCCTCTGCCTCTGCCTGCTGCTCCCACTGCTTGTGCTCTCTCTTCCTCTCTGTCTGACAAATAAAATAAAATAAAATAAAATAAAATAGAAACATGCAAGAGTAATGTTCCAATAAATATGTGATGTTGAGAAAATGAGAAACAAAAATGTTTGTATGACCATGAGGGAGAAAATTCTCACAAAAATAAGCCCAAATGTACACCTGCATCCCAATGCTTTCTGCATCAATGTCCACAATAGCCAAACTGTGGAAAGAGCCCAGATGTGCACTGACAGATGAATGGATAAGAAGATGTGGTTCATATACACAATGGAGTATTACTCAGCCATCAGGGGACCAGGGTGGCTCAGTGGGTTAAGCCTCTGCCTTCTGCTCAGGTCATGATCCCAGGTTCTGGGGTCGAGTCCCACATCGTGCTCTCTGCTCAGTGGGGAGACAGACTCTCCCTCTCCTGTTCCTCTGCTTGTGGTCTCTCTCTCTGTCAAATAAATAAATTAAATATTTTAAAAAAGAATGAAATCTTACCATTTGCAATACATGGATGGAACTAGAGGATATGATGTTAAGCGAAATAAGTCAATCAGAGAAAGACAACTATCCTATGATTTCACTCATATGCGGAATTTAAGAAAGAAAACAGAAGATCACAGGGGAAGGGAGTAAAGTAAAATAAGATGAAATCAGAGAGGGAGACAAACCATGAGAGGAACTGAACTCTAGGAAACAAACTGAGGGTTGCCAGAGCGGACCGACTGGAGATGGGGTGACTGGGTGGTGGGCAGTGCGGAGGGCACGGGACGGAGCGAGCACTGGGGTTGCAGCTCATGAATCTGAACTCTGCGCCTGAAATGAATGATACAGCGTGTTAATTCATTGAATTGGAATTAAAAAATAAAAATTTTTATAAAGCCCAGAAGAAATTTTAATAAAAACGACTTTCTGACCGTCCCCGATGAAAGCATAATGGCAATTAAGAAGAGCTGGAAATAAACGGAGGTTTTCTTTCTACTATCGCCGCCTTCTAAAGCGGGACGGAGAAGAGACACGGGAGCGCTGCGCGGGGCGAGGAGTTCCCGTCCTAATTCGAACCTTCGCCGGGTTCTCCCCGCGGCGGGCGGATTCGGGCCGCGCTCCGGCAGCGGGGCCGGGGGCGGGGAGACGCGCGGCGCGTTTCCGGGCCCCGCACCGCTTTGGGGTTTATGGGCGATTCCAGGCGCTCCTGCCTCAGCAAAGCGGTTTCTCCAAATTGAAGCAAAGTGAAAACAAAAAAGCAAACCCCCAAACGGTAATGACTTAGGAAAGTGACTACTTTGGCGTTCAGGGTCACTCGAATGCGAATTACGTGACACAGTTTGATTATAACAACACAATTAGTAGCTGGGGAAACCCTCGCCAGAGAAGGAGGTCGTGCGGGGGAGCGCCCGGCAGCCCGGGGAAGAGGCGGCCTCGGGGTCACCCCTCCCCCATCCCCCGAGCGCCCAGACGCGGGGCTCCAGTGGTGCCAACGCCCAGCTGCGCGGCGAGCTCAAATGGGGTGAGCCCTCCTGCGGGGTGAGCCCTCCTGCAGGGTGAGCCCTCCTGCGGGGTGAGCCCTCCTGCGGGGTGTGCCCTCCTGCGGGGTGAGCCCTCCTGCGGGGTGAGCCCTCCTGCGGGTGAGCCCTCCTGCGGGGTGAGCCCTCCTGCGGGGTGTGCCCTCCTGCGGGGTGAGCCCTCCTGCGGGTGTGCCCTCCTGCGGGGTGAGCCCTCCTGCGGGGTGAGCCCTCCTGCGGGTGAGCCCTCCTGCGGGTGAGCCCTCCTGCGGGTGTGCCCTCCTGCGGGGTGAGCCCTCCTGCGGGGTGAGCCCTCCTGCGGGTGTGCCCTCCTGCGGGTGAGCCCTCCTGCGGGTGTGCCCTCCTGCGGGTGTGCCTTCTTGCGGGGCGTTGTCCACACCGCAGCGCAGCGCACGGCTCGCCCGCGTGAGCAAGGCCGGTTGCCGGGAACTGCTTGCATTTACAGGGAAGGCCCGCGGGTCCAGGGGTACCAGTCACCGGGGGACCCTACGGACCCGGCAGACCCATCACGGTGGCGGGGGAAGGGCGAGGGACAGGGCAGGGCTTGTCACCCGGGGACCCAAAGGACCCGTCCGGACCGTGCCCTGGCCGTCGTCATCCCTTCGGCCCCGGCAGCTGGCACCTCAGCCCCTGAGGCCGGCCCACGGACGGCCGCTGCCCCTCGAGCCGCGGACCAGCTCCTGCCGCTCTCCGGTCCTGAGGCTGCGGAGTCTCGGCGTCCCCCACCCTCCCCGGCTGGGAGAAAGGTCTCCGCCCAGCACCCGGAGGCAGCCGCGGCTGGACCCGCCCAGCCCAGGCCGAGCAGCGAGAACTACATTTCCCAGATTGCTGCGCGTCCCCGGACTCCACTTCCCAGCAGTGCCCGGGGCGTCCCCGAGGACTGCATTTCCCAGAGTGCCGAGGGCAGGCCCGTAGGTACCCTCCCGGTTCCGCCCCTCCACCTGGCAGCCGCACGAGGCTGGAGACTCAAGCCCCTGCCGGAAGCCGCTCTCCAGGCGACGGGCGGGTCGCAGGTGAGAGGGCGCGGGGCGCCGAGGGTCCCCGCGGGAAACCCGGCGTGGCGAGCCCGGGCCCGGGCCCTGGCTGTTCCGTGACAGCCGGAGAGTCCTGAGGGGTGGCGGGACTCCGAGGGCGTGGAAGGGGACCCGGGGGCATGGGAGTGGCGTGGGAGGAGTCCTCACCAGCTCGCCAGCCGGCTGCTGGATTGCCCGCGCGGTCAGGAGCCGCTGATGTCGGGGCAGGGGCAGTGTCCCCTCCCGGCGATCCTGACCATGGGGCCCTGCAGCCGGGTCAAAGCCATCTTGCAGGGACGCGAGCAGATTTTTGGCCCAAGGATAGAGTCCTCAAGGGTGGTGGTGCCCTGAGGCCTGTCCGGTTCTGAGCCGGAAGCCCCACTTGCCCAGGAGGAACTAGGCTGGCAAAGTCTCTCCTGGACCAGCTGGCCGAGAGGGTGGGCATTGAACCGCAAACAGGGCGCTGCCCGTTCTGTGCCTGTGGCATGTGAACTTTGGCTGGGACTAACCTTCATGATATGGGCCAGGAGCCCCCAAACCCAAGATCGTCTGCCTGACCACCTGTCCGCTCGAGGTGTGCCGACTGTCCTCTTTCTTGGCGCAGTGTGGGTCTTGGGTTGGGCCTGCAGGGCGCAGTCTGGGACCAGGCTCTCTTGGTTGGGTGGCAGCCCCAAGGCCCCTGTGCAGATCTCGGGCTCCCTAGGGAATGGGGCTGGGAGGGGAAGACTGAGGCCATCTGGGTCTCTGTGGTCCTCAGCAGGCTCTCTTTTCTCCCTGTGGTCGGAGGGGCGTGGGGTGGTTCTCATCCTGTTCCACTCGCCACAGGGAACCCTGGGCTAGCCCGTGGATGGTTGCTGTGGGATCCAGTGCTAAGGGGAATGACCCCAAGCAGGGGCATCTCCAGGGAGTGGGGTTCTGTCTGCCTCCCACCATTTGCCTCCACAGGTGCAGCCAACATGAGTGAGCCTGGAGGGTCAGTCCGAGTCCTAGTGACAGGGGGATCTGGGCTGGTGGGCAGAGCCATCCAAGAGGTGGTAGCAGATGGAGCTGGACTGCCTGGAGAGGACTGGGTGTTCGTCTCCTCCAAGGACGCAGATCTTACGTGAGTGGACCCATCCCTGGAGCAAAGCCTTTAGACCCAGAGCTCCAGGCCTGCCCTGTCCCCGAGCCTGGTAGCCTCATGTCTGGGTCCTTCCTGCCCGGTGGCTGGCCTGGCTTGGGTGTGTGCAGCTCTGCTTCTCAGCAAACATCCTCAAATCTATTCCTGGAAGCTCACGCCCTCATAACAGCCAGTGCCTGAACTGGCCACTTTCCTTTTTGGCAGTACCTCCTGCCATCAGCCCTGCCTCCGGCCTCCAGTACCCCAACCCCAGGGTGCTAGTTCCTTCCCTCAGGCCTCCAGGGGACCTCTGATGGCCTGACTCCTCCCAGGGACGCTGCACAGACCCGAGCCCTGTTTGAAAAGGTCCGGCCCACACATGTCATCCACCTTGCGGCAATGGTGGGGGGCCTGTTCCGGAATATCAAATACAACCTGGACTTCTGGGTGAGTGTGAAGGCCCCGTGCCACACTGGGAGCTTCTTGGTTGGTTTCCCGTGCTTATGTTTTGGCCCCAGGAAGTCCCTGAAGGTCAACCTTGGCCCAACCGGGTGGGGGTGGTCCCTGCGGAGTCCCCAGTGATCCACATTTGCTTGGCAGGTAGACGGGCAAGCTGGTAGGCCTGTGGGCCCAGTAGGAGAAGTCATGGAGCTGACTGGGGGGCTGGGGGAACTGAGAGAAACCAGTATTTGCTTCTTGACCCTGGTAGGGTTGGTTTCTACCCCTGAGCCCTCTGGGCCTCTAGACCCTCCTGCTCCCGGACTTCTGTGGTCCAGCCTTCTGGGGTGCAGAGATGTGAGCTGGGCTCTGGGTCTGAGGCATCTGGCCTGGGGGCGCGAGGTGTGGTGGAAGGGGCAGGAGGAGAGCAGAGCTCTCTGCCTACAGCCCTGCTCCTGCCAGGCTGTTCCCCTGAGGCTTGACCCCACTAGCTCTGGGCATCTGGTCTTGGTGTGATTCAGCCCTGCATCAGGCACAGCGATGGCAGAGGCTCAGGTCAGATTCTGCCCAAGGCCCCTGTCATGCCAGAGATCTCCCTGTCTCAGTAGCAGTCTTCCCAGAAGCCTGCCTGGGTGCCGTCTCTCCCTCTCCTGCCCAGTTTCCTTCCAGGATCCAGGGAAAGGGGGACAGGGGAGGAGTAGGGCTGGCCAAAGCTTCTCTGCTATTGGGTGGTGTGGTTGGGTGGGCTCCTCGGGGTAAAGGAATGGAGGGACCCCTTCTCCCTGTCCCTGCCGCTGGGCCAGATTGGGCCTGCCCTCAGCATCTGTGTGGGCGAGGTCCAACGCTGAGCTAGGGGGGTGTGGTCCTGGCCCCCGGCCCCCTCCCAGAGCCCCAGGGCTGGGGTAGGGATGGGGAGGATGTAACAGGTTTGGAGGGGCCGTGGTTTCTGGAAGGTCAATGCTGGGAGGTGTTGGCTTGTCCCAGGAAGCGGTTGGGGTGAGCTGGCTCAGGTGCTGCCCTTGTGGGATGGACCAGAGTGTGTCCAGCTCTGTCCCCGGGTCGGGGGGCAGGTATGGGCTGCAGTCCTGCCTGGAGGGCCTCGAATCTGCCCTGCCCTCCCACCCACCCCACCCCCCGCCACGCCAGAGGAAAAACGTGCACATCAACGACAACGTCCTGCACTCGGCCTTCGAGGTGGGCGTGCGTAAGGTGGTCTCCTGCCTGTCTACCTGTATCTTCCCAGACAAGACCACCTATCCTATCGACGAGACCATGGTGAGGGGCGGGGCCAGCGGGGGCGGGGCCAGCGGGGGCGGGGCCAGGAAAGCAAAGGCTCCCCTGCTCCCCTAGATCCACAATGGGCCGCCGCACAGCAGCAATTTTGGCTACTCCTATGCCAAGAGGATGATCGACGTGCAGAACAGGTCCTCCGCCCGCGCGTCCAGCTGAGACCCGACAGGAAAAGGGAGGAGGGCCCCGTGGGTTCCCCGGGCGGGGCTCCCACCCTTCACAGCCCTCTTCGCGGGTCTTGGGTTTCTGCATCCATGAGGCCAGGGCGGGTGCGGTGGGTCCGCGGTCCCAGGGCAAGGGCCGGAGGAGACGTTGGGACTTCGCAGGGCCTACTTCCAGCAGCATGGCTGCACTTTCACCGCTGTCATCCCCACTAACGTCTTCGGGCCCCACGACAACTTCAATATCGAGGACGGCCACGTGCTGCCCGGCCTCATCCACAAGGTGCACCTGGCCAAGAGTGAGTGCCTGCTTGTGGGGCCCCAGGGCCTCAGCTGGGAGGAGGCGTGGTGGCTGGCACAGCCCCCCCCAACACCTGCCCCCTCCCTGAATCTGCAGGCAGCGGCTCCGCCCTGACGGTCTGGGGCACCGGGAGGCCACGGAGGCAGTTCATCTACTCACGGGTTGGTGTGGGGCGGTGTCTAGCTCTCTTCCCAAATGTTTCCTGGCTGGCCATGCTGGCTGTGGGAAGGCCATAGCGTGAGGGAGCCAGGGAAAGGAACGGGGGTCCAGGCTGAGCAGTCACAGGTCCTCCCTGGGTCCCTATAGGCACCTGGCCCTCTGGGCATCGCCAGGCGCAGCACTGAGCTCAGTGAGAGACGTGACTCTCTGTTGGGGGGGAGCTAGCTGAGAGCCACTCAAAGGGAGAGACTTCTGGCCCCAATGGAGCCCGGGCTGTGCCCTCACTGAGCAGAGCACCTAGGAGGGGTGGCCTTTGGGCCCATGTGGCCGTAACTTGTGGCCTTTGACCCTGTGTGACTTCTAGGACCTGGCCCGGCTCTTTGTTTGGGTCCTGCGGGAGTACAGTGAGGTGGAGCCCATCATCCTGTCAGGTGCGTCCCCCTCGGTGCCGCTGCTGCTGGGACAGGGCAGAGCCCATGTCCGTCCTGGGAGCAGCTAGGGTTGGGAATGAGTATTGTGGGGGACTGGGTGACAGCGAGCCCAGGCAGAGGAGGCCTGACCTGGCTGTTGGCCCCTGCCTCCCCCGCCCCCGCTCCCCCACAGTGGGCGAGGAGGATGAGGTCTCCATCCAGGAGGCAGCTGAAGCTGTGGTGGAGGCCATGGACTTCCGTGGGGAGGTCACCGTATCCTTTGGCTCTGATGCACCCAAGATGGCTCTTCCCCTGGCAGCTGGAGAGGAGGGGTGGTGCTCTGTCCCCAAGGCTCCCCCTGGGAAAGGCAGAAGAGGTTCAAGGGCAGGCTGGGGCAGGGTCACCCCTTCTGCTGTGGCCTTGACCAGGCACCTAGTTTGATACAACCAAATCGGATGGGCAGTTTAAGAAGACGGCCAGTAACGGGAAGCTTCGGACCTATCTGCCCAACTTCCGGTTTACACCCTTCAAGCAGGGTGAGCCCCCTGGTCCTCCCACGGCTCTCCCACCCATCCCTCGGGACCTCCTATCCCCGCCTTCCTGGCTTGGGCGTCCCTGCTTCAAGCTGCAGACCCCTTCAGGGTCTGGTGTCCAAACCCTTGTCGGGGAGGCAGGACACAGAAGGGGTAACTGCCTGTGTCGCCCGGGTCTCTGGCCTCCCCCCGTCCTCCAGCGGAGATCAGTGCAGCCCCAGCCCTCACCTGCCACCACCTGTCTCCTGCCCACTTCTGCAGCTGTGAAGGAGACCTGTGCTTGGTTCACCCAGAACTATGAGCAGGCCCGGAAGTGAAGCGTGGCGTGCGGGTAGGCTCCGGTTGCCGCAGAGGCCTCGGAGACAGCAGCCTCAGACCCTGCGGGAGTGGAGGGCACTGCCTGGCAATCTGGGCCCACCTTCTACTCCTCTGCCAGGGTGGCTCTGGGCAGCTGTGCAGTGGGGCTGCCATTCATGTCTGTCCTCAGGGAAACCAAGGGCTGGCCAGGCCTGGCACCTTGCTCCCCGACACCAGTCCTGGGGTCCTGAGTGTGTCCCCTCCTAATCCTGCTCTCCCACTCCCTGGGAGGTAATAAAGTCCATTTTCCCAGGCCTGGCCCCAGCAGCTCTATGCCACCCCCTCCCACCACAGGCACTGTCTCCCTGAGCCAGACTAACCCCAGGCTAACCATTCATCTGCTGACCGCTCAGCCTGCTGGGCCAGGGCGGCTGACTGTCCCTGGAGTAGTAGGGCAGCAGCGGCTGGCAAAGCAGGTGTGCAGGTGAGAAGCAGGCCAGCTGTAGGGGGTAGGTGGTGGCTGGTCAGCTGGTGGGGATGCAGGGTAGGGTACCTGTAGCAGTCCCAGCGGGCGCCATGGCCACAGCTTAGTCTTTCCATGGATATCATGTGCAGGCCTGGGTGACCTGAACTCCCTGGGCCTACCTGTCAGTGCTGGGACTTTGTGGGACAAAGCGGGTGCCGGCTTTGGACAGGCTGAGTAGGCATGTGGATGGATCCAAGGGGAAGGTGGTGAGCGGCCCCCAGGAGAGAGCTGTACCAGGCCTGGGCCCTCCTCTGCGTAGCCCTCAGACGGCAGCTTGTGATGGGGCCTAACCTGCCCTTCTCCCGTGGACAGTAGCGGGTGTCACAAAGGAGGCCTGCTGGGCCTGGTGGGTGGGGGTGAGCCACACAGACCTTCCGGATCTCAGCAGGAATCCAGCCAAGTCCCCAGGGCGGTCAGTCAGTACTGGGGTGTGGACCCAGGAGTGCCCAACTCCAAAATCCTCAGATACTTTCCCTGGCTCCAGACCTGCCCCTGCTCCTGGGTCACCCTCTGTCGTCCTCATGCTGGTGGCTCCCAGACTCCTTTGGACCCCAGAAGTGCCTGGTGCCATGAGAATTCTTTCCTCTGTTCAGGCATCATGAGCCACTCTCCACTGCTGTGAGTGTGCAACGGTGTTTACTGCAGACGGGGTGGGGCCCCCAGCTGGAAGGCGGGTCCTCCAATGGCTGCCCATCCTCCACGGCCAGGTGGCCTTCTCACTCGCTCAGGGCAGGGCCCACACACTGTGGGGGTAGTGCTGAATGAATGAGGGGGTTTTAGTGTTGAAGCTCTTAGAATGTGTCAAAGTAGAGTTTAGAATAACAAAACATTTTTTAAATGCAGTCTTTATTTTTTTGAAGATTTTATTTATTTATTTATTTGACAGATCACAAATAGAGGGGCAGACAGAGAGAGAGGGAGAAGCAGACTCCTGGCTGAGCAGAGAGCCCAATGCGGGTCTCAATCCCAGGACCCCGAGATCATGACCTGAGCTGAAGGCAGAGGCTTAAACCGCTGAGCCACTCAGGCGCCCCTAAATGCAATCTTTAAAGAAACCTACAATCTTAGATTTTCAAGCCTTATTTTACCCGTGTCAATTAAAAGTTAAAGTACTCCACCCCTACCCTCCCGTCAGTTTCTAACAGGGCCGCTTGCCGCCACAAGCACTCCATCGCCCCGCCCCCCACTCCCTTGGACCAGCAAGAGGGGCCGGGTCTCCCCTGGAGACCCAGGCCTCAGGAAGGCCTCTCCTGCCTTCTTGCAGCAGCCTGGGAGGCCCAGGAAAACCGGGATCCAAGCTGGTTGTTAGAGCTTCTTAACCCCGTTCAGCGACAGGCCGCTGCTCCCATTCCCCTAGCAGCGCCCGCATTACGCTGGCACCTGGACCCGCTGCGGCTTGGAGAGGGGCTGACCACAAGCCCCGACCTGGCAGCTCTGCCCTCCGCACCTGAGTCCACTCCCCGGCTCCAGAGACACCGGCCAAAGGCTGGCAGGGCTCCGCTCCCCAGCTCCCAACATGTCCCGATGGTGGGGTGTGGGGTCCGGGGTCTAGGCCCTGCCGGCCCCGGCCTTTCATCAGAGTCTGGGCGAATGCTTCCTCCTGGAAGCTAAGCTGCCCAGCAGCCCCCGCCGGAGCGTTCCGGCCTCTGCAGCGTCCTCGCGAGGGACACCCACCGGGCACGCTCCAGGGCGCAGACCGCGGGGACAGAGTCAGAGGAACCCCCACCCTTTCCGACCCTTCGCCTTTGAATGGAGCCTCTCAAGCGGTCTACACCACGCACCCGGAGCCTGCCACGGCGAGCTCGGGCCCGGAGAAACGGCCTGGCGGACCGTTGGGTGCCCCGCCTCCGCCCCCGCGGCGCCCTGCCCCGCGCCCCGCGCTCTCTCGCGCTCTCGGACCAACCAGCGGCGGGACAGGGACTCGCTCGTGAGCGAGCGTAGAGCGCGGAGCCCGGAAGGGGTAGGCGGAGCGTAAAGCCCCGGGAGCCAATCGACGAGGACAGGGGCGAGGTGGCGTAGCCCATTGGCTGGGCCGAGGGCGTGGGGCGGGGAACGGTCGGCTCGTGCCGGGCAACATGGCGGCGGCGGTGGCGGAGCCGGGGACTGGCCCGCTTCGCGTGGGCTTTGTAGGCGCGGGACGTATGGCGGAGGCCATCGCGCAGGGCTTCATCCGAGCAGGTGGGGCGCCGCGGGCGTGGGCGCGTGGGTCCCCGGGTCGAGCCAGCGGGCGTCCGACGCGCGCCCGACGTGCGAGGGAAGGGCTCGCCTGCCCGGGGGGATGCGCCCCGGAGAGCCCCTGGGCGAGGAGCGAGGGCCACAGGCCAGCCCTCCGCGCGGGTCCGCAGGGTGGGCGGGGGCGGACCGCGGACTCTGCTTCCTCAGCGCGGCGGCCGGGGTGCGCGAGGGCGCGTAGAGCTGGCCGTGCCCGCGGCGGCCGTGGGGCTCGAGGGGCCGCGGAGCCCTGGACATGGGCGCGGTCCGAGGTGGGACGGAGAACCGCGTGTGGTCGGGAAGACGGGGGACGCGCAGCGAGCGAGAAAGTAGCGTGTCTGGGTGGTGGTCAGCGCTGGCGCGGGTGGCGTTTTGCTTGCGTTCGGTCAAATAAAGTGTATCAGCGGCGACTTTGTCTTTCTCTCCCGCTCGCTCGACGTGCCTGCTAGGAGCTGTGAGGTGGAGTATTTGGCGGCGGCATTGCCCTCGGGCAGCACCACCGCAGAGCTGGGACCTCCACTAACTTCTGGTCCGCCGCCTGGGCCCAGGGCTTGGCCTTTGAGACGGCGACTCTGTCCTGTTTGTGTGCCAGCCCCACTGCGCCGCAGGCTGCAGGTGTCCTCCCCGTGGGCAGTGCGGCCCTTTGGGGAGAGAGAATTCTCCGTCCTTCTCATTGCTGGGTGTGTGGCCGCTTTCCTGGTCTCGCCCCACTAGATGCTACTAGCATCCCCACAGTTACGACAGCCGTAACTGTCCCCAGAAGTTACCACGTGTCCCCTGGGGTTGAGGGGCAAAACTTCCCGGGTGGAGGACCACAGTGCTGTCCTGGTCTTACTCCACGGGATTTGGAAAGCTTTATGTGCACGTTATGGGCTGGCTTTCCGCCCTCAGCCACAGGCAGGGTTCAGAAGGGTCAGAATCATCAGAAAATAGTTGAGTGCATGTCACAGGTGTTTCACCTGGGAAACCTGGCTGTATGGCTTTCCTCCCAGGGCTGTACAGGTTTAGTGTGGAACACAGCACTGGTGCGTGTAGGCACATGTGGTGGTGTCATTGTCATGACTAATCAACTCTGTGTTCTGGTTGTGGGATGCGCTTCTGCCTTCCTATTAGCCGGTACAGAAACTTAATCTCCCCAGCCCTGTACACCGCAAATGCAGGTGGTGCTCGTAGCCTCTGCTTGGACATCCCAGCACAGACACACCCCCAACACCCAGGGAAGCCCAGGCCCTATTGTGTCCCCCTCCCCACTGTGCCCAGTCCTCCACCCCAACCTTCCCATCCCTGAGTGCTGTGTCCTCATGAGACTAGGCAAGCTCTTGGGCCCTGCGTCTAGCCCGCCTGTGGATTCAGCAGGGCAGGCAGGTGGTGACGACTGACAAGCAGAATAGAATGGGGCTGTGTCTGGTTCTGGGTCTTAGAACGCCCCTGCCAAGCACTTGGGTTCTGACAGAGTGTCAGGCCAGCTATGGGCCAGGGTGGCCCGGATGGCTGAGCCTGACTCGCGCTTCAGTAAGGGACAGGCCAGGCTGGTTCCCACTCTCCCTTCCTCCCACCCCACCTCTGCACTGACCCTTCTGCTTTTGCCCCTCTCCAGGGAAAGTGGAAGCTCGGCACGTACTAGCCAGCGCGCCAACTGACAGGAACCTCTGCCACTTCCAGGTGAGCCAGGCCCCAGCTCTTCGGAGTTGAGGCTTTCCTGGGGGGCTCATGGTGGCTCCTGGCCCCTGTCCCTCTGAGACAGTTCCTGGGGCCAGGGAAGTGCTAAACTTTTGAGACTGGCTGGGCTGGACTGGAAAGGGGAGGCCAAAGACCAGAAGAAAAGTCAAAGTTGCAGAGCGCTAGGACACAGTGAAGGGTTTGTGTGCTCATGTACGTGCACATGTGTGCATGTGTGTTGGGGGGGCAGAGATGGTTGTGGGCACTCACTGGGGTCAGTGGGCGCGAAGAAATGCTGACATCGGGGGTCCTGTGAGGTGCAGGGTTGGTCCTGAGGGAGAATGGGTAGTCTGGGTGAGTCTTGGCCATTGGATGTCGGGTGGTGCAGGCACTTGCAATGGGAGAGACCCATGGGGGCCCCTGGGGATGCAGGGTGGCCTCCAGCAGGTAGGGCCATGGTCTGGGAGGTCCCATGTACCCTAGCCCCGATCCCACTGTCCGCACTGCAGGCTCTGGGCTGCCAGACCACCCACTCCAACCGGGAGGTTCTGCAGAACTGCTTACTGGTCTTCTTTGCTACCAAGCCCCACGTCCTGCCCACTGTCCTGGCAGAGGTGGCCCCTCTGGTAACGTCTGAGCACATCTTGGTGTCTGTGGCTGCTGGGGTCTCTCTGAGCACCTTGGAAGAGGTGAGTGGCCCGGGGTGGGCGGGGGGAGGTTATGTGGGAGCTAAAGGGTCTGACCCCAGAGTCCGTTCTGCTGGTCTGAACTTCCCTCCTTTTGCCATCCCAGACTGGTGGCAGCCTGGGTTCAGCCCTTTAGGAAGGTGGCATGGGTGACACCTGCGACTGACAGCCTCTCAGACCAACCCCAGCCTGAAGAGATAGGCAGGTGGCCAAGGGGGCTGGGACTCAGGCTCTTGCTGGCACCCCACCCAGGACGCAGGGGAGGGAGCCCACAGCTGGCTGCGGCAGGAGCCTGCCTTGCAGGGCCAATGCCACATGACCCCTGACTCCAGCTTCTCTCTGACCAGCTGCTGCCCCCAACGGCACGGGTGTTGCGGGTCTCACCCAACCTGCCCTGCATGGTTCAGGAAGGGGCCATGGTGATGGCCCGGGGCCGCCATGCCGGAAGCAGTGAGGCCAAGCTCCTGCAGGCCCTGCTGGAGGCCTGCGGGCAGTGCGAGGAGGTGCCTGAGGCCCACGTGGACATCCACACTGGCCTCAGTGGCAGCGGTGTCGCCTATGTGAGTGTTGCCTCGTCCCCCACCCCCAGGCCAGCCCTTGGCAAAGTGGAGATTTCGAGTCCCTGCAATGACCCCAGCCTTTGGGATTCGATGACTTGGTTCTTGGGCTGCCTGTGAGCTCGACTCTGTGCTATGTCGTTCCATTCTTGGGCCTTTGTCCAGTCAGACCCCTGGGCTCAAGCCTCAGGCCCAATTCCTGCACTGGTGGCCAATGTTCTGGGCTGTGTTTCTGAAGGTTCCAAGCTTTCCCCAGACTGGGAGCTACGTGCGGGAGAGTGTTGGCTTTGACAGTCCCCCCGACCCCGCTTCCAGGTGTGTGCCTTCTCAGAGGCCCTGGCCGAGGGTGCCATCAAGATGGGCATGCCGGGCGGCCTGGCCCACCGCCTCGCCGCTCAGACCCTGCTGGTGAGTGAGGGCAGCCCCTGAGGGCTTGTGGGAGGGGGCATGCGCTGGTCTGTCTCCCGGGAGCAGTCGGAGGAGGGACAGCAGGCCCAGGAAGCCTGGATGGAGATTTGGGATGGGGGTGGGGCGTGGAGCAGGCTGAAGCGGGCTGCACCAGAGGAGAAGAGGCTGCCCGCCTCCCCGAGTCACCCCCAGGGCCCCTCTCCCCAGGGGACAGCCAAGATGCTGCAGCAGAACGGGCAGCACCCAGCTCAGCTGCGGACAGACGTGTGCACGCCAGGCGGCACCACCATCTACGGGCTCCACGCCCTGGAGCGGGGTGGGCTGCGGGCTGCCGCCATGAGCGCCGTGGAGGCCGCCACCTGTCGGGCCAGGGAGCTCAGCGGGAAGTAAGGAACAGGTACTGGCTGTGGGCTGCCCACCGGCCCCCCTCCCCCAGTCCCAGCCTTCCCTGCCCCCTCCCCTGGGCTGCAGCTCCCCCACCGTGAAGGAGCCTTCTGGGCTGCCCCCACCCCCGATCTCCAAGGGAGCAAATGAGAAGGGACAGGACTAGAGGGGTTCGTAGGCAGGGCATCCCTCGCCATGGGAACCACCCCCACACTCCCCCCCACACACACCCCCCGGCCAGCGCAGGGCAGAGGCATCAGCAGTGGCCACCATCGCAGGTGACTGGGGTTTGGAGGGCTGGAGCTGTGGCAGTGTGGGCCAGGGGCCCAATGTGCTCAGCTGGTGGGTCGGCCCTTCCAACAGCTGTGTGACTGCAGCCAGCTCGGGGTGGGGGACTGGGGGAGGACCTGGATACTGCACGGGAGATAGGCTCCCCCACTGAAGCCAGCGCTGGAAGGCCGCCACATCTATTTTGTCCCCAGGTTGATCTGCCATGCATGGGACGGTGGCAGGTCAGCTACAGGGAGCTAGGCCTTGACCCTGCCAGCCCGTGAGAAGACCCTGGGGCTGAGGAGAAGCCGCACTGGGTCCTTCCCTTGGGGAGCCCCACGAACAGAGCCTGGGTGGGTCTGCTGCAGTGCCGGTGCCCAGCAGGCCAGGGAGGCCCAGGGGACGTGCCCAGCCTGCTGCAGAGCAAGGACTTGGCTTCAGCTGCGTGTGGCCCTCCCCCGCTAAGCTCCTGGCAGGTGGCAGGCAGAGCTGACCCTGACAGCCGGTCCCTGGGTCATCCCCGAGGGTCTGCTGGCCTCTGGCTGAAGGACGTGGCCCTTCGGCGTATCCCCGCATGGAGCAGCCAGCTGGGGGTGCCAGGAGCTTGGGTCCCAAACCAAGGCCCTGGGGCCTTTGGGTGGACGGTGGGCTGCCTGCCGCTGCCCCCCACACCACCCCCGTGGCTCCTGGAGCTCCCCCACCCCACCAAGGCCCTGGAGTGCCGGGACTCCCCTCGCTCCCACCTGCTGGCCCGCCGATGCCAGGCCCCCACGAGGTGGGAGTGGGCCACCTCTGGTTTGCGGCCAGTCAGTCCCGTCGGGTGGCGGCTGGTGACACCCTGCAGCAGTGCTCCCCTGCTCCTGCCCTCCATCCCCAGCCTGGCCTCCCACGCACGTCCCCAGATGACTTCTGCACCTGACCGACCTGGGAGGTGGGAATAAAGGCGCTGTCTGATTGCACTGAGTGACCGATCTTTAGGCTGAGAAAGCAGAGTCCAGGGGCCCGGAGGTACCTTGAGCTGAGGCTTGGGCCCTGGGAGCTGGCAGGGTGCAGGTGGTATGGGGATACTGGTCACTGGTCCTGGCTGTCGGCCCTGTGGGCTGGAACCTTTGCTCCTCGCCCCCCGGTGTATGGTGGGTTCAGCTGTGCGCCTTCTCATACAGCCCGAGAACCTGGCTGGGACAGGGGACGTGGGACAGAGGGACAGGGGACGCACCTCTGGCCAGCCCAGGCGGGAGGGCAGCCGTGCCCTGGACAGGACAGGAGTCATGAGTGGCTTTGGGGGTCAGGCTGCAGCCTCCTCACCGGCTGCCCACAGCTCCCCTCGTAGCCCATGCTCAGGTTACTTGAACTTCTCCTTTCCTCAGTGTTCGTGTCTCCCTCACGTTTTCAGATTATGAGGTGTTCTAGATCTAAGCATTGCGTCAGAAATTACAAAATTAAGACTTCAGAACTACCTGCTTGGCTGAGGGTATAGAGCACGGAACTCGATCCTCAGGATCACGCGCTCAGAGTCATTTGACGGAGAGATTGTTTAAATAAGTAAAACAGGGTGCCTGGGTGGCTCAGTTGGCAATGTGTCTGCCTTCAGCTCAGGTCGTGACCTTGGGGTCCCGGGATCGAGTCCCGTGTTGGCCTCCCTGCTCGGCGGGGAGTCTGCTTCTCCCGCTGACCTCTCCTCTCATGCGCTCTCTCTCTCGCAAATAAATAAAATCTTTAAAAAATAAAGTAAGTAAAATAGACGCCAAAACTCAAAAAATATATATTAAAATAAGACTTTGGAACAGGGACACATAAAGTTGACACGAACCTTTATTATAATGCACGTTGGGCCCATCTGACTGCGTGAATTGCCCCATTAGCAAGGATGGGTGTGAAAAGGTCCCTCAATAGAGCGTGCACCCCAAAAGCCCCTGCTCTGCCCAGGATACACTCCTAGAGTCAAGCCTCACCGGCAGGCACTCTTATCTGAGGACAAACAGCGCCCAGCTCTCCACCGCGATCCTGACTTGCTGGGCTGGGCTGGGAGCCGGGCTGGAGGGCACGCTCCTCCCCTCACCACATGCTGACTTGGCCCCCACAGCCCACCGGTTGGCTGGGGGTAGCTTCCCAGGCCTGCAGCCCCTTTCAGCAAGACCGTGCCTCTCAGACGGGCTCGCTTTCCTTCAGTGTGGTCTCATCCACCCCAACAGGTGCAGATCAAGGGCAGTTTTAGCAGAACCTGCACACTGGCCTGTCTCCCATCTCCTGCACCTCCCTTTCCCAGCCCACTGCCAAGCCCACTGGAGGCCCTAACGAGGACCCTCACTGAGAGCCAATTTTTGGAAGCCATTCAGCAGAGAGAAACCCAGGCCCAGGTGCACCCTTGCCTGGTGCCCCTGTGAGCCCTGAGGTCTGCCTCTCCAGATAACCCCGGGGGCAGGCCTGGTAGAGCAGAGGCCAGGGCCTCCCAGCCCTAGGTCCCTGAGTTGCCATCAGATGTTATAAAAGGTAAGACCTCCCAAAACCCCGTGCCACCTGCTTGGGTTTGAGTCCCAGGACCAGCCAGACGGCCAAAGGGGCCTCCAGGGCCATGGGCTTGAGTCAGTTATTAAGTGGGTGCACAGTCTCCAGCTGGGGGCTGCTGCCCTGGGCCTGGCGAGTCAAGCCCCTGCCCCCAGATTTTTTACACCCTCCCTCAGCTTCCAGATTTGAGATCTATGTGTGTAACCCACCCACAAACAGTACAGTTCCACGGGATAATTTCTGTTCTCAGACTCGTGAGGAAGTTGCTCTGGGGGCTCCCTCCAGCTGCCTCCGCAGTTCATGGCTGCCTCCTCCCACGAACACACCGTCCACCTACAGCAGGAGGATGTGAGGCAGGTGGGGGTGGAGAGAGGGTAGAAAGGCCGCCCCTGGGGGACACGGCTGGGCCGCGGACCAGCAGCCGGCCTGCAGCTAGAGCTGGGTGGGGACGCCGAGCACTGCGCTCTTTCTCCCAAGTGGAGCCCCTCAGAAGCCTGGGTGCTGGGCTGTGGGAAGTGGCTCCTTAGCCACAGCCCTGGCAGTGCCGGGAGCGGTGGGGCTGCCTCGGAGGAGCACTAAGGCACTGTCAGGCTGTCCCCGTGTGGCTGTCAGTACCACAAGCCCGCTCCGGGTGGATGGCGTGGCCAGTCCAGGGAGCTTGCTCGGTCCCTGGTCAAGTCACCAGGGGCCCAAGTCTAGAAGGCTGCTAACCCCATAGAATAGGACAGCGGTTTGGGAGTGGAATTTTAAGGAAAACTAACAATCCCAGTGGAAGAGAAATCTACACTCCCTGCTGCGTCCAGCACCTAGGGATCCCCAGTCACTGGGCCCCATCCTCCCTCCCCAGCCTCTGCGGAGCCAACCTCCAAGACCAGCCCTAGGCTGGAAAATGAGACACCATGCTGGCCGCCAGGCAGGGCACCTGTAAAAATAGGTGTAACGTGCTGAAAACCAAAACGGAGCGGTGTGCCTCCACGATGACTGCATGGCCAGGCATGGGAGCCGTGAAGCACCAGAGCTCCCGACTTTCAAGAGTGCCGGCCCCTGTACAGTGCATGTGATGGGCCGCCTGGGAGGAGGGAGGAGGTACAGGCACCGGGCTCAAGGTCTCAGCCCCACAAGGGCCAGAGCCGGGAAACCGAGCGGCTCTGATTAGCGTGCTATGTCGTGTGTGTGCCCAGGGACCCCGGCTAAAACCACAGACCCCACGAGAGTGCTTGCCCAGGGAGGAGATGTAGGAGCCCGGGGCCCCTCTTTTAGCCCCCCCTCAGGAAGATGGTGGACTGGTGGAGCAGAGCCTCACAGAGCTCCTCCAAGCCAGCCTGGGGCTGGGATCCCTGGAGCCCCCTGAGCCATGGGGTGGGCCATCCCAGAGGAGGGAAGGAGAGGAAATGGAAGACTGTGTGTGTCCCCTCCCTCCAAGTGCAGCAGGAGAACAGCCACCGTGGGGGCCACTCAGGCTGACTCAGTCACACCCCGTCCTCGGGGACTGCAGGAGAGGGACCGATGCCCCCCAGCCTCCGGGCCATGCTGATCAGGGAGCGCAGCTGCACCAGCTTGGGGGGCCCCACCTCCTGGGGGTCCTGATTCTCCAGCCACCGCAGAGCTGTCTCCAGACCCCGGACAGCCTCCCCAGCTGTGGGCACGGCAGCCTCCTCCTCCTCCTCCCCACCCCCCATGACAGAGGGTAGGCTGGCCAGGGTGGGAGGGGCAGCAGGGACCAGCACAGGGGGCCGGCCAGGGCCTGCGTCCTCTCTGCAGCTGTCGGGCAGCCCCCCGTCATCGTCCAGGTGCAGCCACTTGGCCACCTCCTCTGGCGCCAGGCGCTTGTAGGCCAGGGCTGCAAGGTGCGTGAGGTCGCTGAGCACCCGGCTGTGCTCGGCGGCCTCCTCGGCCTGGCAGGCCGGCTGCCCGGCACACTCCTCGGGGGGCCGGGGCTCGAAGGCCGCCCGTAAGCCCAGCAGCCAGCACCGCTCAATGCTGCCTGCCTGCACCAGGTCCCAGGACAGGCCGGCCAGGTAGAGCATGTCCTTGAGCATGAAGCTGTGCATGAAGTCCAGCGGTGAGCCCCCCGCACAGGACACGGCCAGCCTCAGCAGCTCCCGCTTGTACAGCTGCTTGAAGGCGGCTACAACGCCCTGCTCCAGCGGCGCCGGGATGTGCGCCCGGCTGCTGCCCTTGGACAGGAAGAGCACGCGCACAGCCCCGTCCGGGGTCTGGAGCTCCTCTGGGGGACTGAGGGGCTCAGGCCGACACCGCCGGAGGGTGTCCTCGCTGTCCTCCAGGGCGGGCATCCTGGCTGCTGGGCTGGGGCAGGGCGGGTGGGCCACCAGCAGCACAGCCTTCTGCTGCAGGCAGCTGCGGCGCAGGTACCGCCTCACGCCGGGGACGAACTCCTCGAAGAACCAGCCCCTCAGCAGTGGACGGCTGAGCCAGGCGTCTGGGCTGTAGCGGTAGGAGGCGGGGAACTTGTCCTGGTTGTGGTGGCGCAGGCTAGGAGGGTCCGGCAGCTGCCCGATGACCAGCGGCTTCAGCTTGTGGCTGCCGGTCAGGTTGGCGGCCAGCAGCACGGTCACCCGGTCACCCCGCCAGCGCCGGCCGCAGGCCCCGGCGCCGGGGTCCCCCGCGCCCAGGGGCGCGGCCTGCTCCGGAAGCAGCTTCCAGTAGAGGCCAGTGACGTTCGCGTTGTAGATCTGCTCGTCGCCGTAGCCGCCCTCCGCGGGGGGCGGCGGGGCTGGGGCCCGGTCTGGCAGGGGCCCTGCGCCGGAGCCCGGGGGCTGCGCGGGCTCCTGCTTGACGGGCGGGCCGGGCGCGGGGCCCGCGGCCAGGGGCTCGGCCTCGCCGTAGATGCGCTGGCTGGAGATGCCGTGGCGCTTCTGCCAGCGCCAGAACCAGCCGTGGCTGGCCTTGAAGGTGCACTCGGGGCCGTAGATCTGGCGCGCGAAGGCCTCGGCCTGCGCCTGGATGAGCGGCCCCGACAGCGGCACGCCGTGCTGCCGCAGCGCCAGGAACCACGAGTAGACGGCGCGGTCGATCTCCTCCTCGTTGGCCAGCCGCATCTTCTTGCGCTGCGTGCCCACCTCGCCGCCCAGCTGCTCCAGGAACCAGCGCAGCTTCGGCTCGTCCTTGAGCCAGCCGCGCAGCGTGCCGCCCGGCACCCCGAAGTCGCGGCACACGCTGGCCTGCCGCTCGCCGCCCTTGACGCGCTCGATGGCCTGCAGCTTGTCCTTAATGGAGTAGGCCTTGCGGAAGGCCATCTTCACGGCCACGCGGGGCCGCGGCCCGGGCGCCGGAGGCGACGCGCGCGCGGCTGGGGCCGGGGTGGGCGCGGGAAGCCGCGGCGGCTGCGTGGGGCACCCGGGCGGGGGGTGGCGGCCGCGGCGCGGAGCTGGGGCGGACGGGGGGCCCGCGGGGTACATGGCTGCGGCGGCGGCGGCGACGGCGACGGCGGGGGCGCGGGGGCCACACGCCGGCCCGGCCGGCCGCGCGGGGCGGGGCGCTGGGGGCGGGGCCGGCCGGGCCCTCCCCTTTGTCTAGCCAGCTCTGGGGGCGCAGGCGCGCAGGCCCCGTCGCCCGGCCCCGCCCCGCGCACCGCCCGGCCCCGCCCCGCCGGCCGCGCGTCCTCCGGCGCTTGTGGGCCCTTCCGCCCCGCCCCGGCCCGACGCGCCCACTGCGCCGGCAGGGGAGGGGTCGGGTGAGCCGCAGTCCTGCCCCCGGCCGCCCGCGGCGGCCCCGCGGGGACACGGCGAGCCCCGTGGTGCTCTCGCAGTGCCTGCCGTCTCGGCGGCCGCGGGGAGCGTTTTGCCGCGCCGGGGGCCGTGGCGGCGAGGCGGGTGGTGCGCGGGAGCCGCCTCCCCCCGTGCGCGGCCCGCGGCGTGGTACAGCCCGCTGCTTCATTTCCCGTGCGCGGCGCGGCCGCCGCTTCCTTTCCCCAGCCGTCCCGGGCCACGAGCGCTCCTCGCTGGTCGCCGCGTCCTTGGCAGGCGTGAGTACCGCAGCCCGCGCCCGGAGGGGCCGCACGCGCCGCGGAGACCCCAGGGGCCGGGGCGGGGGTGCGGCGGACGCCGGGGGTGCGCCCGCGGCTCTGCGGCGTCAGTGCGGGCAGAGGGCGCAGGGGGGCGGGGCGCGCGGGCCACGTGGCCGGGCGACCCAGCCGCAGGCCCCCGGCCCCGCCGTGGCGCCGGCTTGGGAGACAGCGGCCGCGGGATGGGGGGCAGGAGCCCCTCCTTTGTCCAGCGCGCGCTCGTCGGGTACCTGCGGCGCTCCGGTCCGGTGCCTGGGGGGTCAGCGTCGGCCCAACCCTCGTGGAACCCTGGCGGTTCGTGGACGCGGGAGAGAGCAAGGACGCGTCTGCTGAGAGACTTGGAAGAAACGCGCAGGGCTCTCGGAGCGGCTTGGAGCCATGACTTGGATAAGGTGGCCCCGGCAGGAGGCGCCGTGGAAGCCAGTGTCTGAAGGGGTGTGGGCGATTCCTCCCCGAGACGGGGACACTGTGAGTGCGGGGCAGAGGGAAGGGCTTCTCCTGGAGCCATGGAGCTGGGGGGCTGGTGCGGTGGAGGCTGAGAGTCAAGGTTCCCAGAAGGAAGTGCACCCTGGAGCAAGGGAAGTCGTTGGCTTAACTTGGTGGGGGCGGGTTCCGGTTCCCGCCCCAGGGGGAGCACCGCTTCAGTTGACCCTGGCCGGCGGCTGGGAGGGACACGTTTTAGGAGGCGTCTGCTGGAGCGTGTCTGACACCCCGACCTTTTTTGGGTACCCTGAGCCTGTAAGTGTGCTGGCTCAGAGGGGACCTGGTGCTTCCTGAACCTTCCGGGCCCAGCCCTGTGGATGGCATCGTCTTTCGGAGTGACTGACACATAAGCCTGTCACCTCTGTGGGACAGTCCGTGTTCTGGGCCTCCTGCCAGACCTGGGGAGTGCCCTCCAGGCCACCCTTTTCTTCTCTGGAGTGGGGCTTGCTGTGAGGTTCACCGCCCAGGGAGAGCCCTTGATGGGCCGGAGACAGCTGCCCTCTGGAGGGGCTGGTGCTGGGCCACGTCCGCAGCGTTGCTCGTGGGGAGCACAGTGAGGGTACCAGGGATCAGCACAGGTGGTCAAATGGGCTTGACCCTCGTTTTTGTGACAGTAGCTTTCTTGATGATTTTTTTTTTTTTGAAGATTAACCAAAAAATTATTTTTGGTATGTGGTGCACTGTATTTTTCGGGGACTGCAGAAATGCTGGCGAGGGTGTGTGTTGAGCCCTAGCCCTGTGCTCACAATGTAAGAGGACATGTAGGTGCTTAGAGTAGGTGGTCACGTGGTGCTGGTGTGGCGTGAGACCCGGGTCCCCAGTTCTTCCCCTCCCTGGCTGGGGCTTCCCTTCCCCACTCCGTCCATCCACTGTGTGGGAGGCTTGGGGATGCACACGGGGACTCGAGTGTTTACTGGAAGATTGGGGAAGCATGTGTGGTACTGGGGTCACCCCGAGGGAAGGCGGTGCAGGGTCCAGGCCGAGTAGCGTAGACCAGGCTCTGGCAGCTGGGACAGAAAAGAACGGACAGGCTGTGGCATTGGAGGTACGGACATTGTTGTGCCTGCCTGGGGTTGTGTGGGCAGCTGCGGCGGGAGCCCTGAGTCTGATGGCATGGGGGGCCCCTTTTCTGCCAGCGGGACAGGTTGATGTTTCTGAGTGGGGCTTGGGGTTCCCCCGCACAAGGCGGCATTCCTGCCTTGCACAGCTAGCCTCTGTGTGGACCGGTGCCGACCCGGGCAGCTTCCGCTCTGTGCGGCTGTTCTTGCGGGCTCGGACATGCCAGTGCTCGTCACTGTGCCTCAGACACGGGAGGTACCATGGAACGCTCTGTGGTGAAGCGCTGGTCTGACCCCGGGGGCCCAGAGGAGAGGAGTTGGCCTGCAGATAGCCCCGCCCCGTTCCCCCTGGTCCTCATGTCGGGTCCCACTTCCCCTGGACGATGGGCTCTTTGAGCCCTGGGTGGACAGTTGGGGAGCTCTTCCGTGTGTGACGGATGGGATGGTGTCCGGAGGATGGGAGAGTGGTGTAGAGGGCAGAGCTGGGGGAGAGGGGCAGCCCTTCGCAGAAACCTTCCCCAGTCACGCAGGCTCTCAGAGGCACTGGCACTTGGGTGGGCCCAGCCATGGCAGGCCACATCATCCCTTTCTTTGATGGCCCTCCAGCCAGGGGTGTCCTTTGGGGGTCTGCTGCCAGGTTCTCTTCCCACCTCTGAGAAGAGCTGTGCCTACCTACGCCTGGAGCATGGGTTCGAGTCCATGCGGTCCTGAGTGCGGATGGCGCCTGGTTGGGACGGTGGCCAAGGAGGGGCCCGTCTGTAGCCAGGACGAGCTCTGCTGCTGGCTGCTTTTCTTGAAGACCCCAGCGGCTGGGTGGGGTGAGATCCCCCGGGGGCCTCCTGCACCTCCAGCCCTTGGGGCCCCCTGGGCAGCTGAGAGGGACCACGCCCGCTCAGAGCAGTGCAGGCGGCCTGAGGCACCGGGGCTGGGCCTGAGTGGTGGCCACGCGGCTATATTGCCAGGCCGGTGAGCGGACAGGGAGACACTGGCAGTCCCGTCCACTTTCAGGAGCAGAGGGTGGGGACACTGCAGGGCCCTTCCTTCTGCGTGTTGGGTCTGGCGTTCTTAAGTCGTCCCGTGTCTCGCCCCGTTACTGGCGAGCCATTGCTGTGCCGTTGGGAGAGATGGTAGGAGGGGGCCCACCTGTTCCTCGGCAGCCTGGGGTCCCCGCTCTGTGACCAGAGGCGTGTTTGGCTTCTCTGAGGCGTTCGTTCAGACTCAGACTTGCTTTTCTCCTGCAAGAGATGGGTTTCCAGTTCCGCAGCTCTTCACGGAATTAGGGAGCTCTTGGAGACGGGGGACGGAGGCTGTGGAGCTGGGCTCTTGCATCTGAGAGGGGGGCAGGGGGAGTACCCTGCCGGCTGGTCCTCCAGTGTCCCCGTGGGGGTAGTTGGACCCAACACTGGCTTCGCTGCCTCCGGGTGACACAGCCAGCGGGAGTGGCTCACTGTGGCCTGTGCTCCTGCAGGGTCACTGACTGTCCTTGGGCCTGGCGCGCGCACACACACATCCCAAGGGTCCCCAGAAGTCCCCGTCTGTCAGGGACCTGATGCTTTCGTGCCTCTGCCTGTGAGGCAGAGTTCCTGCTGCAGAAAGGAGGCAGATCTCCAGGGCTCTGGTGAGGGGGCTGCTGGGGGGATCCCGGGGCGGGCCGGGTCTGGCTGTCTCAGCTCCTGAGCTGCCTCCTTTTTTGGGTTTGGGGTGGGGCACAGGGTGTTTCTGGCCTGTTTTCCCACCTGAGATTGGGCGAAAGCCCCGTCCTTGCGTGCACAACAGGAGGACGGTCTTGTTCACGCCTGGCATGGTGGAGCACGGGCCCTGGGTCCGCGGCTGCTGAGGCCCGTGGACCATGCGTGGCTGTCTTGCATCGTGTCCAGCAGCCAGGTTTTGTGGTAGCACGACAGTGGGGCTGGGTAGGGGTCCTCTGTACAGCTCCAGGGGGCCACTGGGGTGCTGGCTGACCTCTCCGCAGGTTGGAACAGGTGGGAGGGTGCTCAGAAGGCGTCCCCCAGGGCCTGCCTGCCTGGGCTCCGGATAGCGACAGTCCGGAGAGGTGCTCATTTCGAGGGGCAGCCGAGTGGGTGGACTCTGTCGCCTGCTGGGGTTTGGGTGGTGGGCGTTTCAGGTGCTCGACCTTAGTTCACCCCACCACACACCTCCGGCCTCCTTCCTCCACGCCTCTGCAACGGCCTTGTGGCTTGCTTGTGCTGCCCTTTCTGACTGCGTCTAACCTTGCTGCTTTCTCTTCATGCCATCCCAGGAGGCCCGAGTAAAAGTAAGTACCCCTGTCCCCTGCCGCGGCGTCCCCTCCGCCTCAGCCGGGGAGCCCCTGGTCCGCTTGTCACAGCATGCTGGGCCTGGCGGGCCTCCCTTTCCTTGTCTGCGACATGGAGGTGCTGGGTTCGCTGGAGCTCGGCTTTGGTCCCGTGGGGTAGGGTAGCGGCAGGGCTGCGCGTCTCCGGGTTTCCCTGGACTGAGCCCGTTCCTGCCTTGGGGAGGGGGCACCCCCTGAGCAGGCCAGGAGTAGCTGGCCGGCTTCCGCCTCTGGGCAAGAGTCTGCGGTGATGTTGGGAGAGACAGGGACAGCATTGAGGCCGATAGGGGCTGGCAGGGCCTCCACGCTGGGAGGCTCAGTCTGGTGCGTGTAGCTCGAGGGGTCCGGCCAGCCCAGCCCCGGGCTGTCCTGGTGAGGGTCTACCAGGGGCTTGGTGCCAGAAAGGCTGAAGGGCAGACAAGCCCTGCCCAATTGGCCTGCGGTCTCCTCAGGGACAGTGGGTGATGTCACAATGCTTTGCCTCCTGGGCACCCGCTCCCACCTCCCACCACTGCCTCTGCCGCCAACCTGGCCTTGGTG